GCAGCTCCGACAGCGGCCCTCGTACAACGTGTCGTATGCGCACTTTTGCGGCATTTTTAACTGTTTATTCCGGGTGCCCCCAGCACCCAACCAAATACAAAAAGGGGCAAAACGGGTATATTTCGGGGGGAGGTTGGGTCGGTAAACAGGCCTTGTTCGAAACCAGACAAGCAACCACTTCAAATTTATCTTTTATCGATACTCATGCATTAGGAATCAGGAGAGAGCTCGCCACTCGATTGAATGTTAAATAATAGCTAATTGGAACTTTAAGTACTCGCAAGTAAAAACTTTGTTTACATAATCTTTTAGAAAATTACAACTAAGAGCTTGAAGGGTTGCAATTTATACTTTAAGTATAAAGTACTTTTAAACATATAAAAATATAAAACAAAGCAGAAGTGAGAGACTTACACTTTTTACATATAATTGGAAATATCTTGGAAGTATTATTTAGTTCACAAACTATCTATTGCTAGCTAATGACTAAAGTCATTACTTGTACTCAAAAATTCGACTTGTGGTTTTTGAGTGCAGATGTGCTTTTGCATTTCAATTAAACTAGACATTTCAAGTATGCCATCATTTTATTGCTTCGTCCCTGTAATATTTTTGCAGAAAGATAAGATTAGGTTTTGTCTGTAATTAAAAAGATTTTCAAATAAACAACAAACCAAACTAACATGCGTAAAATAAATCCTTGCAGATAGGAATTTAATTATATAATTTAAATAATAATTTTCCCGAAAGCACATTCAATGTTTAATCTGTAATAAGCACTATTAGTATTCTATTTCAAACCAACCTAGCTAATTGTTATACTAATCACTTAATATTTAAGTTAATAACACAAAAGTAAGTTACTAAAAAGGGAATATGGAAATTTTTTGCTCTCTTTTTCAATTACATGTTGAAAAGCTGTAATTATAAAGAGATACTGTGGCGTGCAGTCGATTTAAACATTAATATGCTTCGTTTTTTAATGGCCTGCGGCACGAGCAACAGCAAACAATTGACAATATCTGCTAGTGATTGGAAAAGGTCTGCCGGTGTTATTTGGCAATCTAAACGATTTCGTGCCAATCCGAGCTGCGCGACTATTTGCAAACTCCACGGACGTATTTACAATCCTGGCCAACGCACGTGAGTGTCTGGCTGTTTGGAGGAGGATGGAGATGAGGATGAGGATGTGAATGTTGATGTGGATGTGTGGAGCCCTGTGATTTGGTAATTGCAGCATCAACAATGATGTCATAGCCCATGCAAGTTTAATACGTGGCCATCGGTGTTTTTGAGTGTGTTTGCGGGCATCCAGTGGCCATAATGTGCCAGCGGGACAATTAACGACAACCGGCCGGAGAGTCGGGCTATGTAAATATGGACAACAGTCAATTAAATTCGAACTCGGGGGTGTTAAAGCGCTGAATGCTGAACGCAACGCAACGGCCCGAAGCCAGTTGGCTCACTCCTTAAACCCGGCGGATAAACACGTCTACATATGCCCGCCAATTTGATTACGTTTTTTCAATTTTTTTCGCATCCGAGCAAAATTTGTAATTCAAATTAAAAGCGCAAATAGTTTTTTCCCAGCAATCAGGGGAGGAAGCTGGGAAGGTTATAAAAAGTAGAATGCACTTCGAACAAACGAGTTGAGCTTTAAGAATTGAACACAAATGTTTACTTTTTTTCTAGTTGTATTAATATGTTAAATAGGTATTGCCTATGTTAAAAAATATTGATAAAACAAAAAATTTATTTAATTAAAAAATGAAAGAAAAAGGAAATATTTCTTTTCAATTCTTCAAAATTATTTTTGTTTTTCTTTATTTTACCAGAAAAATAAAGGCACTTAAGCATGACATAATGTGCACAATTATACAATGAAAATATATATGTAAGATAAATCGCTTATGAATTTTTTTTTTCCTGAAAGGACTTTATTTTATATAAATCTATTAAAAAAAAGGGTAAAATAAAATTGTTTTTAATCGTTTTCTTTTGTTGCATATTTGTAAACAGTTTGTATTAAAGTTTTCATCCTGTTGACCAAACACGGTACACAGTTTTTGTGTGTATGCGTGTGTTCCAAAAAGTAAAAATTATTTCCCGCTTCGGGTCGATTTCCCAGCGTTCAGGCTGATTTTGCTGCGAGTGTGGAGATGGAGAATCCCCCTTTTTGGGAACTGGGAACTGGGAGCTGGGAGCCGGACTGGGGACAGGAGGAGTGTGGCAGGCAACAAAAGGCATACCAAATTACTGGCGAAGCGTCTGTCTCGGGCGGGTCCTGTGCCCAGGAAGAGGCCGGGCCGAGTCCTTGCAAAAGGCAAATGAAACGCAGTCAGTGGAAATGACGGCGCTCGGCGCGAGAGAGAAATGAAGGCAACTAAAAAATGGCAAAACAAAAATGGGAATAGAAAATGCCGCCACATCTGAATGCTGTGGAGCAACAATGTTGCATTCCACTTGGGCACTTTGTTAGGAACTTTGTATACTATACGTATACTCTTTATATATATAGTATGTAGAAATATGTGTATGCAGCAACAGTCATATTGTGTGTGTGTGTGTGGCTGTGAGTTTAAGCCACGAGGGGCATCGGGGGGTTAAGGATGCCGAGCGGGCTCTGGGACAAAAGGGCGAAAAGTAAAAGCCACGCAGGCATTTGGCACGGAAAATATTTTAAAATTCCAGCAACGAAAGTGCAGACAAAACTCTTAAATGACGAGCAGCACGTGCCCAAATAAAATGATGCGCATAGTTTGGGGCACAAGGGAAGTCGGGGGTTTTAGCCAGTTTCCCCCTTTGGATTTTTCGGGTCTATGTGCTCCCTTTTCCACTTCCCGGTTCCTTCAACTCAATTTCGCAAACACACACACATTCGAACCCCGCTGATCCTGGCTGGCGGGTTATCCTGGTAGGCTTTCTGCTGACTTTTCAATGTGTCAAATCGTGCAGCATTAGATTGGACTTGCCAAAGCCAAGACGCTGGCACTCTGCGATGCAGATGGGTGACAAGTGCATATGCCAGCGAATCGAAAATGGCTTATTTATCCTGCTATATTGATAAACATCACTGCCACATGGCCATATGGCATTGGCCGTGGCAACAGGAAGAGCCGAAAATGGGGCGCCTCCAGGATGGAAATCGAATTGGTAATAGAACGAGTCTGGCTTTCCATTTGCCGCATTTTATATTGAATGTGATAGTTTAAAATCCATTTCTATTAATATTCACATTTTGGTCCTTCAACATTGATTGCAAGTGACTTTTATTGCTACGTTTGGTTTTTGTGTTTACTGAATCATTTTAACACGTAAATGTATATTTGCTCGATATTAGATTACACTAATTAAAACAAATTGCCGATTAAAATTAAAAACCTAATCAGTTATAGGTTCATGGATAAATGCAAAATGAAAAACATTTGAGACATAAAATCTCTTTTACTTTCTGAATATCCGCAGATACATGGCATACTGGAAAGAATTAACAAATGACTAATTCGTGCATAGAGTTTTCCTGCAAAATGTTGAACGTAATTTATTTACCCGGAGTTGCTCAACCATTTAATTCCTTGGGCTGTCGGTTAATTCAAACACCGAGCCATAAAGCGTCATCTCAAATTGACAGTCATGCAAATGAACAGATGCGTGGGTTTTTATAGCCAAAGATTATCGCCGGAGAAGCGTAAATGAAAGCTCATTATGCTGCTCGATATCATAATAAACGGCGGCTAATTAAAGTTCTGGCAATAATTTGCACATTTATACACTCGAGAGGCGTTTTTTCGCATTCGATTTAATTTAAGGAATTTGCATAAAATAAACATTGGAATTTACGAGAAATCACGCAATATTTATGCAATCTAAAATGGTCCGAACAAAAGCTAGGGCCAAAAGAAAAATACAATAAATGCAAAAAATTAAAATAACAAAAACTCGTTTGCATTGGTCGTGCGGATGTCTAGCAATAATCAATCAAACGTGAAATAAATGAAAATACTCCAAATAAATCGAACAACGAGTCATTTGTCAGGGCTTCTTTATTTCTCTTGTGCTGGTTGCTAGCATTATTTATTTATTTTTGTTCTCCTGGCTTGCTGCTCTTTAATACGACTTCCTGAGCTCTTAAATTTTAGCATAACAAACAAAATACTTGCCGACCATTTCCGCTGCCGCTTGTTTCAGTGACATTTAAGCGGCGCAAAAAGGGGAAACTGGTAGCGCAAAATAAAACAAAAAAAGTGAACACAAACTGCAAAGTGCAGTAAAAAATTTGTTGAAATATGCGACGAAACGCGGAGTATCCGCGCCATGTCCCGAAATGCCAAAAAAGCGGAGCCAAACTGCTCGCCGTTTTATTTGCACTTCAATTTTGCCCTCGACGACGACCGGCGGCGCACTTTATGGCGATTGCAATCCCAGCTGCACTCGCCTAACTGCACTGCAGTGCAGTCCTGAAGTCCTCAAGTCCCGAAGTCCTGGAGTCCAAGGAGTCCTGGCTCCCGATTCCCCACTCCCTGCCACTCGCTAGACAAGTGCTACTTACGGCTATTTTATGTTCGAAAATGTCCTTTGGAGCTTATCAGCGTTTAACATCGGACAGAAGTCAGCCCGAAAATAATGGGCGCAAAAAGCAAGCTGCAGGTGAAATGCACGCCGAGCGGAGCGGCATGGAGCAGAATAAAATCATGTGACACTTTGTGGTTAATAACGCCCGACTATGCATGCAGATATATGTATCTTTATACATATAGCAGGTAGTGGGTTCCATTGTCTCGTTGGGGAGCGAGCCCCGAAAAAGCAGGACAGCGCACACAACCAATTGGCGGGGGTGGCGGTGATTTAAATGCAAATTTATCGCCATGCAGCAGTAAAAAGGGAGCCAAAAAAAAAATCATAAACGACCCCACAAAATATAAATAAATGGACACACACGCAAAACATAAAAAAAGAAAGTGAAGAAAGCGGGGGGATGTTATAATAATATTTACAAAATGTCTGTTTGCGCGACTTCTGACGAGAGAACATTTTAATTTTTCGCATTTGCATTTACATTTTGATTAAACGATTTGCATATTGCCGTGCTACCAGCGCCCATTTAGTGCCAAACTGGTTAATTTATTGGTAGCAATTCGGGGATTAATCGGATCGCATTGCTACTTTAATTTCCCCTCCTGCTGTTTCCTGTACAAGTTGAACAGGAAGCGGCTGCGTTGCAAGGCGCGGTTGTGGATGCAGTACTGCCGCCAAACCAGACTCGTGGCCACCCAGGCGTAGTAGACCACCAGGGTGAGCATCATGGCCAGCACCCCGGCGCAGCTGTAGACCAGCGAGATCCTGCCCCAGGAGAGCTCCATCTGGTAGATCCTTTCCCTCGCCTGGTACAGCAGGAAGCAGTATCCCAGCGAGAAGAGCGACGCGTAGAAGTAGATCGAGTGGTAGAAGGCCAGAAGCCGCTGCAGCAGCCAGCTCCTGTAGTCCAGGCTCATTGTTTCCGAGATGCCGCCACTCAAAACATGCAAAACTTGATTTTATACGAAGGTCTGGAAGTCGAACGCAAGGTCAACTGGGACAGAAAGGTTGTAGATCATTCAAAAACATTTATTTAAGAGGGGATAATATATGCTTTGGTAAGTTTATTGTTCATTAATGCAAGCTTTACTTTGAGATCTGTATTGTGAAAATTAATTAAACATCAAAATATATACTGATAACTTGAACAAGCATATTAGTTCACAGAACAAATATTAATTAAAATGAAAGCAGTACCAAAAAATACCAAATAAATGTAAATCATATAGAACTTTTTATTTGAATTTGTACACCATTACTGAGTTTTTTATGTGCTAGTTTGGCAGTTAAATGTCAAGTTTAACCAGTCTGAAAAAAACGTATATTCCACACATAAAAAAGCTCTATAAAGCCGGAAATTTTTTCATTTTATGTGTAAATCCCAAATTTATTATACATTTGCTCATGCTCAACGTGGCTTCACCTCCGCCGTTCGATGCTCCGCTTTTCCTTTGGTTTTCGCTTTTCCTGAACTTGATGGCCTAACCAAATGTGAAATTTCGCACAAGGACCGCACTCTCTGCTCATCGTTAGTCATTCCCATGCTCCTCGTTCTGCGGAGCAGAATTGTTGTTTAAGTTTGCCATTTTTCAACAACTCATCAATCTGTTCGATCTCCTGTGCTGCCATAGTTTGCCATCCAGGCTCGGTTCCAGCTCCTCCTCCTGCCAGCCAGCTCGTCCTTCGTCCTTCGTCCTGCCGCCGTTAACGTTTCTAACTTATGCGAGGCACGCACTCGCACCGCAAATGCAGCAGCATCAGTCTTCGTCTGCAGCACACCGATTTTCCTCACTGAACTGGGAAAAAATAAAGTAAACTTCAGTTTCTTATTTCCATTTTTCCTATACCCAATTTCATAGAAATTATTATTGAATTTATGAAGTCCAAAAAAATGAAATAAAGATTATCCAAATATTTGTAAGTTAATCAACATTTTTTGGTTTTATTTAAATTGATTTTGCATGCTGCTTTTTAAGATTATTAAATAGTTCAAAGGATAAGCTTTCCCCAATTATGAAGTTTACTATTTATGTTTTCTGAGGGAAAAAATATTTGTTACTTAAATATATTTTTACGATCATACATGTTCTGTTGCAATAGTTTTCTCAGTGAGCTTCCATGAGCAAATATGGCTGACTGATTTCAGGCGAAAGCAGCTAGTTGATGGGCCTCGAAGTGGCAGGAAAAGCCAAACCGCCTGTCGCCAATGACGCTAAACTTTTTTATTATGTATTTGGCGCTTTTATTATTCATCTATCATCGCTGTTATAGTTTAATAGAAAGTTTAAAAGTCATCATCGTGGCATCGGCATTGCCAATGACTTGCCAAACACTCAGTGCGCCATATGCTCGCCTCCACTGCGAACTCCACTCCGAACTCCAGTTTCCGGCTCTTTCTCCGGCTCCTACTCACTCTATCTCCGGTTGTTTTTCGGGCTTTTTCCCCACATGATGCCAGCCAAAAGGCATTCAAGCGGTCCTGGCCTTCAGCCAGCGCAGACGGCAGATAAACAATTAAATTTATGCAGCGAACGTTTCATTAGCATTCGAGCATTCGAGGCATCCTCGCGGAGGAGCAATCCTTGTTTAGTTTGGACCGGGCCGTTAGTGTTAATTAACTTGGCGCGAATTCAAGTGGCCAAAACAAACGAAATGGGCATCCCGACTGCACTTTGAACTTCCTTGCTTTGGCAACAACGCTTGATCGATAAAGAATCCACAAAAAAGGAGAGAAATCTTTTCTTATAAAGACAAAGCTTTAGATTTTAGATTTCTTGGTGTCGCAAATTCAATAAAACTATTTGCAACTGGCCATGAGACGTTAATAGGGCCATCGGCTACGCATGCAAAAAACCCACACAACCACAAAGTGTTTCTAATAAATTTTGCAACAGCAACTACAACACTACAAGTGTTTAAATTTATCGCAGCTGCGATTCACTCCCCTCGTGATCCCCGTGCTTCCTTTCACTGCCAGTTTTCCCGGACTGAATAAACAATATTTTATAGAAGCCGGGAGCTCGGGGTTCGCTCGTCCAACTCGCTTAACCATTGCACTGCCCGTTGGCGCTAACTAAACGATGCTGAACATCGATTTCAGCACTTCGGGGAGTAGAAGACTCGGAACTACCCTACAGTTTTCAGAGATAATATTCTGTTTCAGAGTCATTTATAATTTGCTTTTGCTGGGTTTATAGTACAATACAATAACTAACGAGCGCTCTAACTTTTGGTTAACTGTGTGAATCAACCGAATAATTAAAGTAAAACTTCTCGGTTAAATAGGAAAATATTTATATATACAATTACAATCATAATTGCATGACTTTTTCTTGCATTTTGTATATTTCCCCTTTATATATACATATGTATATATCCATATATGGATAACTTACAAGCGGTGTATGTTTTAAATTTTTTATGTAACCTTCTTTAAAAACTCTAATATGATTAACACCCAAAGAGAATAGAGATGATTTTATTATATTATTTTACTTCTTTTTGCTAAAAGTTTATCTATTTATTTAGGAAACAAAGCTTATATTTGTACAACATATTATTATGTTTTTGCATTATTTGATTAGGCACTGACCAGCTTGTGAAACGTACTGCGTTAAAACCTTGTATGCCTTGCATTCCACGATGGAATCACGGGGTGTAAAAACCACGAAGAGCAATTATGATATCGGGCATGATTTTGTGGGCAATTGGCTTTAATGGCTACCAGGGCAGTCGAAGCCAAGTGCTGTCGCCAACAGCAACAGCCAGCCAGCATCGAGCCTTGTGTGTATTCCATATTCCGTATTCCGTATTCCGGCCATTCATTCCGCTCCTTCACAAACACCAACCGCTGGCCTCCATGTACGTGTGAAATTTATTTAAATGCTGCCAAAAGGCAACAGCAACCAGCAGGATCTCGTCCTCAGACCGAGACCAAAGGATCTCGAACTGGAACTGATGAGGTTGCCGGAGTTGGACTCGCAGTCGAGGGAGACACTCGGAGGTCCTCCGTTTTGGGGCTAAAGTGTCGTCCTTGCTGTGTGTTATTAGCGGCGGCCTGGGTCCTTGCCAGCAAGTCGGCCCGAGACTCCGATGCCTATCAGGAACAGGAGATATACGGAGAGAAATTAAACCAAAAAACCAGGAGAGCCCATAAATATTAACGTCTTTCGTGGGCGCATAACTTCTGCCTGTGGCATACTTAAATTATATTTTTAGCTGTAAAAAACAACATATTTACCTATCTTAATTGGTTTTAATAAGAGAGTATACTGAATAATTATAAGCAGGATAAACGAAATGACTTATGACTTAATTTATGGCCTTTGACCCACATATGCATAAATGTTTAAAAATGTATATACATATCTTTAAATTAATCTCTAGTTAGACAATTTTATGAATTCAATGTGCCAAAGGAAGAATTATATATTTCTCTTTGCATTTTGTTATCCTAATATAAACAATTTTGTAAGTACTTCTAAATATTTATTTCAATTAACCCAGAATTTGTTAAAAAAACTATTTATTTTGATAACTTATTGTTTAGTATATAAACGATACAGTATTATTACCTAAGTGCTAATGCCAAAGGTTCTTTCCAACTTATTATATTCGTTTAATAAATAAATTAGTATCATTTAATTAATTTAAATATAAACAAAATTTTGTTGAAAAACTGTTAATAAAAAACTCCGAAAAACAACTCATTTGAATTTTCCTCTGTGTATACTCCAAGGGAACAAATGTGGCCAGCATCCCTTCCATTTCCCATGTCCTGGCGCTATTTCTGATTTTTGCCTTTTTTTGTTGGCGGGCTGCAATTTATTTTTATATTGCCTTACATGATAATCGTTTGCATTAAAAATCGGCCGGCGTTGTCTGGCCGTCTGGCAGTTGCCTTTGCCAAAATGTCGTTGCTTGTATTTATTTATTATTCAAAGTGTTATCGGTGACAGAGCTGCGGTGGTGGTGTGGGCGGAAAAGGATATGGAGAAGGGGGTGGAGTGGGGGTCGGATCAGGATCCGGATCCGGAGGCATGGCAGCCGAAAACCCAAAGGATTAGTTATGATAAATGTGTTTTATAAGCGTGACACACATGCCGAGGAAGGGGAGTACCGAGCGAACAGAAAAGGCAAACAACCAAAGCGGTTCGTGTCCCATTTTAATGCACAGATAATGAGTTCCTTTGTTGGCAATATGTCAAATCGCTAGGCCAATATTTCAGGCCCGAAAGGATTGGGACTGGGATTGGGATCTGGTTTGCTATTTGCCGCATGGCATTTAGCATTTAGCATTCAGTATTTTGGCGTTTTGTGTATGCGCGTCGAGTCGTGTTAATTGCGAGCTGGCCCGTGGCAACTACTGGGCGAGATTAGTTGGGCAAGATTATATAAATCAGTGGCATCAATTCCGATCGGTTACGCAAGACAAGCCGCAAACGGCAGGCTGATAAATGCGATTGCGGCGAAACTTGAGAGGAGAAATCAATTAAAAACGCTTCAATTGCTTTCCCAGCCATTTTCTCTCCTCGTTGCGGCTGCCGCTCCTTCGATTGCCACAAGGATGATGATTGGTCCGCCGAGGACAGGCATATCGCAATAATCGATGCACATGCCACATTAACGTTGTGATTTGCGGTCGAGATTCTCCAAATTAAAGCTACACTTTTACGGGCCGTAATTTATGGTAGGAATAGATATTCCAAAGTATTTATAGTAGTGGATGACATACAAGATAAAAGCAATCTTAAATATATAATAGGGAATTTCAACACTTTAATAAGATGCCAAGCGTTGCGTATTTACTATCTTTAAACCACTTAAATAAAATGTTAGAAATGATAAAATAAATACAGGTAAGAGCATAAAAGTACTTCCCTTACCAGCAACTATTGTTGATTCAATTATGGGTCGATCTGCTTTTAGTTTCCATTCACAACTGCTCGAATGGGAAAAATGCAATTATGTAAGTCAGCAAGCATAATC